CTACACCATTGATGGTTAAAGCATTTTCATGTATATAAAATAATTTTTAAAAAGCACCCATGATTGTGACAGCCTTGGTTGATTTATAATAGGCTAAATAAATAAACCTACCCTAAAAATCATGTGACAACTAGCCCCGCTCTCCTCAACATCTTGTTTCAAGGAATAAATCATGATTTAACCCCAAATTAAACACAAGATGAAATGCTCTGTCTGTCCCACAAAAAGCACAGAACATTAACAGGACTATTAAGCTCAGAGATGGTTAGGCCTGTTATGGATCACGTTTCAGATTGATTACATATTTCCTCAGCGTCCAGTGTTTCTTTACACTAAATCCCGATTTGTTCCACTCGAAAGGACTAAAACGAACTTTCAACTCAAATTGTCATTTTTAAATGGACTTTTTAGTTACTGCGGCGAGTGTCCGTATCCGTCTTCTCTAGAAGAGCTCTTGATTGTCTCATCCAGTTATTTAAATTACAGCCAGAGATATGAGTGAACAACTGATCATAGATTAATAACAGTCATAGATCACCACAGAATTAAACACAGTTTAAAGTACGGAAACTAAAGTGGAGTTGAATTATTATCTTATATTCTCCAATTACACACATATGAGGCCTGTTACTAAACTTTGGACATTTTAAAAGAATTAAATAATAATATACTCACAATAGTATAATGTCTCCAGTTTATAATGTGGATCATCTTTCAGATCAGAGAGTAACTTCACTCCTGAATCTCGTAGTTTATTCCCAGAAAGATCCAGGTATCTCAGGTGTGAGGGGTTTGATCTCAGAGCTGAAGCCAGAGCAGCACAACCTTCATCTGTGACGCCACAATCCCACAACCTGTAGAGAACAATGACACACTCTTCACTCTCTCAGATCAGATCAGTTTATATGTAAAAGAGTAGCATAAGTCGATAGCTGATTTGAATTTGAGAACTTGTCATATTTAATATTCATATTTGTAAGTTTAAATTTACACTCAACAGCTTCATACATTTAGCAGTGAATCCATTAGTAAAATAAAGTATGAACACAAATCAAAATAAACATGTTTGATGGATCATTGAACTGAGATCTAAAATGTCACAGAACAAAAACATGAGCCTGATTTAAGAAAGATAAATAATATTACTTTGTTGCACAATCTCAGAGGTTTAAAGGGGTCATGAACTGAGAAACCAAAATTCCCTTGATCTTTTGACATAAGAGGACATTGTACTATAAAAACATCCTGTAAGTTTCAGAACTCAAAACTTTGTCGTTAGTCTAAAAACAGCTTATATTGAAGCCAGTCTGACAAAACGACAGCTTGAGGAATGTTCTACTCTATGATGTAATAGTGTGGATAAGCTCCGCCTCCACAGACGAAGATCGACATCACTGCCTGTTTAGCTCCGCCCACCGATTCACACATACAGTGTTTACGAGAGAGGCAAACATGCAGGTCTATGCAGAAACCAAATGATAAAGATGCTCTGAAGACAAGAAGATGCTGTTCAGTGCCAAGCTGTGGAAAAAA